TTTTGTGATTATCGGAACTAAACTAATCCCACGGTGGTTAGCGCAGTCGTTGCGTGATGCCTTCTTGAAAATAGCGACGATAAGATCCTCCGTCGAAATGTTGCGATGTAAGCTAGTTATTGAGTCGACAAGGAATCTCCGCCCACCTTGAAAAGAATACGGAGAAGCCCATCATGTCCCGCAGCCTTTCCTTTGTTTAATGATCAAATAGCGCTTCGTACTTCGGATTCTGATGGGGGCTCGCATGTCTCCATCCATGAATTTCCGCCGCAATTGCTAGAATGACCTTATTGGCACTGGGCCAGTTGAACTGTTCACTAAAACACTCTGCCCAGCGATCAAGTCGTTGTTCTTTATTATGGATGCTTTGTCCACTTTTATCGCAAATGATGTCACAGACCGGCATGCGACGACCTCCGGTGCTGCGTGTCAGGTGAAATAGTCTTTGACTATTCCCTGATGAAGAAGCTACCTCCATTTCACTATCTATTTTGGCCCATCAATTTTCTTCATCTTTCTTAAGGCTATTTCTGAGTTGACGTTGCAGACGACACCGGTCCTTATGCTGACCCTGTCAGATTGGGATCTTTCGCTTTTGATCCATTAGGATTACTGACTCATGAGAGATCCAATGCCTTCGGGGAACTTCGGGCTCAATCCCACAAGCAAAGTTTTCAACCGAGTGCATCGCAAGTCTAATCTGATTCCACTGTTGGTCTACTCGACTATGTCGCGGTACTCCTAGCTCCTGTCCCAACTTCTCATAACGTGCGCAGACAGCTGGATTGCGCAGACGATGGTGAGCTAATTGAGGAGTCGATGACCAATGAGCCGAAGAGCGAAGCGTAGCAGAACTAGTGCATGATCCGACTCAACGCAGGTGGACCAATAGGATCTGCAATCTTGTACTGAACCACGCCAACGGTAGCTTACAGCTACGTGGTCAATTTGGGTCAAAGTGCCCGTTGAACTAGAACACCATGTAGCCGTCCGACGAGAGCTGTGTCGAAAATTGGTGCTAAATAAGAACAGCCGGTGATCCGCGCAGAACTGAAGTAGTCGATCACCGTTGTCTGTTCACTGGGTGGAAGGGCGAAGTGCCCTCCTAGACAGGCTTCGGATGCGCTCAATTTTCCAACTTGCGCGTTAAAATCACCTGCCAGCACTATAATATCAACCATGTCAGTTCGGCCTGTTTGTCGTAGAATTCGTCCTTTTGTGAAGCGGGACTGCAGTTGGTTGGTGCATACGCGGAAATTATGAACAAGCACCTTTTGGTGTTGCTACCCTTCCGAACAATAACTAAGCCCTGTAGCCTCATTGTGCACAGACAACTATTGACGGGTATCCAATCTATCATAGAGGCTTCAGCTTTATCGTTTAGTACGATACCTACACCACGCTGATCCAGTGAGCGGGCTGCATCGTCTCCTGATGTGCGAAGGAAATACTTCGAGGACAGACCCGGCGCACTCAAGTGGCTTATAATACTGGGATCCTGAATTCGTGTCTCCGATACGGAACAGACATCGATTTCTAGAGACTGAATTGTACGCGCAAGACACGCCTGTTGACCCACCTGCATAAGAGTCCTCACGTTGAAGGCCCCCAGATTGAGAGGTTGACGAGGCTTCATAATCTGCACTTTACTTACAGGAAAACTAGTCAGAATGCTATTTGGCAACGACCTTTGGCGAGTGACGACCAAGTTGTCTGAGGGACTATTACAGGTAGAAGGAGAAAATGAAGAGGGCTGGGTACGGAAGACAAACAGTTAAACAAAGGTTGGGATATCTGAGCAGTAGCCTACTCATCACTACCCACCGCACTCGATGCAATGGGCAGCGCGGTCCTGATCATCCTGCGCGACGACCGATGCAGTATGAAATTATTTCTATTTTGTGTATACATTGAGGTTTGATGGACGGGTGTCCAGCCACTAGGCAGGAGAACGATTAGGGTTCTCGTTCAAGGCTTTTAGTTCTAACAAGAACTCAACCGCAAGGCAGCGGGTGACGCGATGTGGGGGCCCATTTACTTGGATCGATTATTCCTTCACCACTTTTTACCGAATGAAACACAAATTCCAGTCGAACCCCCAACCTGGAGGACCAGGAGACTGAACTTCGAACGACCTCTACCCATTGACCTTCCAGGCATGATAAGATCTCCTGACTTGATAAAAGCCATCCTGTGTAGCTCGTTGGATCATAGAGGTGCACAAGCCATCACACCACGTCAAGATGCAGTCTCGTGATGGAGCAGTAACTGACGGATGTGGTCAATTTGAGTCTGTAACCGTGAAGAGGTTCACAGTTGCCAATTAGGGCGATGTCATTTGTGTGTGAAAAGTTATCCATATCCCGTGAAAGGTTGTGCGGTTGACTGCGATCGGAAATTGACCGCCAAGAAGCCTTTCGGATTCTTCCAGGGATCCCACTTGAGCAGTAAAGCCTCCGATGACTGCTGTAACGTCCACTGATCGAATACTTCAGAGTATTTGGGAAAGATCCTTGTAGAATTCATCCTTGACTTTAGGCGCGCTGTACTGAACTGTTGAGACGTGCAGCACACAGTCGGCTACTAACTGAGATCTAGTCAAGAAACGAGCGCTGAGCAATGACACTTAACGCAATTCCAACACCATCAGCACCGCTAGTGTTGGGTGCCGAGTCACGTGACACACCGAGGGTGAGGCGTGAGGAGGTTGGGTCAGGAGAACTGAAGTTGATAATTGAGGTGTGGTCTTGTATGCGTGTTTCAAAACAGCGTACTTCTAAATTGAAAGTTTCAAAGGTTCTAGCTAAGGTACCTTGTTAACCGATCTGGTAGAGTGTGCGGTTGTTGAACTGGGCTAAGTGAAAAGGGAATTTTGGCTTCAACACCTATAACGTCTGATTGATGAACCATATCAATAAAACGCTAAGTGATATTGCACCTACAAGACAGACCTGCAAAACCTTGAACCATAATGTTGGACAGCTGTTTAAGCGCCAGTCCATTTAGGATTCAACATTATGATTCGATGTTTTGCAGGTCTGTCTTGTAGGTGCAATATCACTCAGCGTTTTATTAATAAGATTCATCAATCAGAAGTTAATAGGTGTTAAAGCAAACATTTACTATTTTTCAAAAACTGATCAAAAACTCACTCATCGCTTGTGACATATACCCACCACAGCTTTTTTGCATTAATTCATGATTGCTCTTCGGCGTAACTGAATGAAGGTTTATTCCTTTCAGAATCAGGTACGGCTTACCATGTCTACCACATATAAAAAGGAACCTCGCGTGGTTGACATGATTGATCTAACTGGAGAGGTGGCAGAAGCAGCCAAAGTTGACCCTGCCGTTGCCTCTTGTGTCATTTCTATGTTCGATGAGGGATTCACGGTCCCGTTCATTGCCAGGTATCGGAAGGAAGTGACTGGTGGAATGGAACCACAAGTGCTTCATCGGTTACGAGAGAAGATGAACGAATGCAAGTAGGTTCGGTCCGTGTTCTTTTTTCCTATAATAGACTTCTGATTGAAAAAATTGATAAATCCTTCACATATCTGAACAAAAAAGGTTTACTGACAGAGGATTTGTCGAAGCAGTTGCTCAAATGTAAAACAGTAAATGAAGTCGAGTTCATTGTACGTTCTCTGCTTACAGTTATCCAAAGTTACTGTCAATTTTTCTTCATTTAGACGGAACCGCTAAAGGCCAAAGGGCCACGAACATTGTCGGCTAAGGCTAAGGCCGCCAACTTGGAATCACTCGCTCATGAAGTACTTTTCTCCGGAAGATTTGTGGATATTCCTCGTCGTGCTCCACCGGAAGCGCGAAGTAAGAATGATACAGAATGAAGTGATCTGGATTATTTATTGATTTGTTTTTCCTTAATCTATTCACCGCAGCTACTCGACAGCAGTTGATGGCGGTTACTGCGTCTCGCTTTTAATGACATGAGCACCCTTGGGTGGTTACTTTTTCGATCGTTTTCTCGACGACGATCACTAATCTATTTTTCATGGAGGTTTATCTCATGATTTGTCAAAGCAACCTGCCTCTCCAAAGAAAGAATGACGAATATCTTCGTTAATATGGTCATCGTGTGGCTGGAGCCACCTTATCTAACAGCAAGCTCTGAAAATATTCCAATGTGAAAAGTGATTAGGGACTGGATAGATGGAAAATTAAATCAACTATTGTAGTCGCTAGACAGGATAAACAGCCAATAGTGCGTATACACCGTTTCCATGTCCATCAGTGGATACAATCCAACATTTATACGTAGTCGTTTGTACTCGATTCTGAATGCTGGAAAACGTTTACTTTTACTAAAATCAGTTCAACTCTTCATGTCTGTTTTCCGCATGATGTGTTGACATTCACGTTCATACATTCTGGAAAGGCGACCCCGGGCAAAGTGTGGTGTGGTAGATCGCTGATAAACAAAACGTGTCATATCCTATGCCGACGGCTTCGCGCAAGAGATCAAACGGTATTCGTGACTTCCTGCTCATTAAAGCTTTTACTGGGTAAACTCTATTTGATGAGTTCGAGCTCGGAGTNCGGAGTGCACCGATCCAGAAATAGAAGCCGTTCAGTGACCTCCGGTTGCTCTCCCCATTTGGCTTCTGGAGTGCTCGCTTGAAGGTATCCACAAATCTCCCCGTTCGACCGTTCGATTGAGAATGAAAAGTCGGGGAGTGTAAGTGGTTGATGCCATTCTGCTTGCAGAAATCCGTCAATTGTAGTGATGTGAACTGGGTGTCGTCAGGAATACCAAAACGACTGAAGAGATGGTGGAGGTTTGCGATTGTTGAGGTTGACGTAGGGCTATCCATGGAGCAAATCTCGAGCCATTTGCTGAATGCATCTAGCGACAAGCTNCAAGCTAAGAACGACCGTCAATCGGTCCTGCTAATTCAACATAAATACAAGACCAGGGTTTATCAGGAATTGGCCAACTGAAAAGCTTGGCTTTTACTGGTATTTCGGACGCAAAGGCGCATTGGTTGCAGCTTTGGACGAGTTCTTCCAGTTGTTCATCGATCAACAGCCAATAGGCATAACTACGGACTAGTGATTCCATGCGGCTGATTCCCGAGTGTCCGCTGTGGAATTGCTGGAGCACTTTTCTGTAGCGTTTTTGGAGTCACGACTCTTTCAGCGAATAGGATGCAACGGTTTACAATCGACAAGGAATCTTTCCGTTAAAAGAACTGATACAGTTAGTTGAAGTCGCATGATTTTGATCAACGTGTGTGGAGGAATTGTGACCTTCGGCAGGGGTAGTGTTTCCTTTCGAACTTCTTCAGCTGTCACTGGTGCATGGCGTGTGTTATTGATTACCAGCTGCGTGGTACGATTGGGTTGTCATCGATGAAGCGTACTGTTTCACGTGGAACCGGAACAATAGACGGAACCAGACGAGGCTCCACTCCACTCCCGGTCACGCTGTCAACGGTCCGTGTTTGGGCGGCTGAAGCTTGAAATTTCCATGAAGATGACTTCTGTTACTGGGATTAACCAGATTTAAGTAGGTATGAAGCAGTGAACATGTGTGGGCTGCCAATGAGTATTTGATAAATCGTACTCACTATCCTATCCTCAGAAAATTACGGCAAACATGCAAACCAAATACAAAAAGCTTGAACTGATTGAGCCGTTCGCTCAAGGTATTGACCGTCGTTCTTGTTGCCCTGGGGCAGTGAGTGTCACTACCTTTTGTGTTTTGCTGTGTTCTATCGATTCCACTCCGGGCGCATTGTGTCTCACGCCGGTCTGTTTCACTGTGCATTGTCCTTCCTTATGTCACCCTTGTGTGCCATCGTATGTTACCTTGTGTGATATCTTGTTTCATTTTGTGTTACCTTGTGTGTCGTCGTGTGATATCTTGTTGTGTACTACATTGTGAATTGATCGGAACGAAGACAACATAATCCACGTAACTCCTAACCCCCCCTCCCCAAGGATTCTTCGTTTGAGTCCCGTTTGGGATACAAAAGTGCTCCCTGCTGACGAGTCCCAATAGGGATGAAACAATTGTTCGCTGCTCTTTTTCGATTACCACATCAACTAAACCTATACCCCTTCACGTATTCGTGTAACGTTCATGTGGAGAAACAGCAAAGAGTCACCAGCTTTCTCTAAGGTTAATCCAACATTCCAATGTAGTATCCTTCAACAATTCTTCCTGCTCAGAAGTCGCTGGTCTGGACTGTCATAAAAATATATTCTGTGTAATAAGTCCACACCAATACCTCATACCCTTATCACGGAGTATCTGGGGGCCATAGATCTAGGCTGAGTTGTTTAGGCCCATCTTTTTTCTTCCAAAAAACATTCAAATGTGATCATTTGTGTGTATACTCTTCAGAGGCGTTCCCAACCGGGCCAGATTTGGAGGCAGCTGTCAGCCACATCATAGCGGACGTGTTCGCGAAAGATTTGGATCTGATTCGGCATGCGGAACAATTGTAAGCATACTGTTTGATTGTCCGTGCCATCAATTTGCATAGCTGTTATCAGATGCTTGTCTGCTTTTTCATTCAATTTTTGCACAAATAGCACACCATTTTAACCAATCAGTCAAACGCAGTGTGCTGTTGATAGTCCAAGAACCTTGTTTAAACGTTAAAGATACCATCAATTATCACCATGTTTTTGTTGTT